TTTTTTTTGCTGGTGAAAGATGAATACATGAGGCGTTGTGTGTACCATCATCGATTCTGCCATTGAAATCACATCCATTTTGATTCATGACAATGTTAAACTTGGATAATTAGTTTCGTTCATTTCGTCAGCCTGTTTAGCATGGATGGGGATTTTGCACCTATGACCGAGCTTGCAAAACTCCGTAAGAAGCATGGGTTTTTGTTCGTAATTGACGATGTAAGTTTCTTAAATTTGAATTCTAGTACACATGACAAGATGCTTGCAAACTGAGTTCCACATGAAATTGGGTAGTTACATTGTAGTTTCAGATATCACATAAAAACTTGTATTCCCTTAAACACATAGCTTCACGAAAGAATACGGTGGATGAAGTAATAATACATGGCCCGTGATAAATGCTTCTTGGATCTTGGTCATTCTATTTTCATTCTTTTATCCTCTTAATCAATTTAATTTCACTCCACTCCACTCCACTGGCTTTTTCATCCTACCTCATTTTTCCTGTTGGTTTTATACACAGCTAAACAGATTTTAGTCCTTTGAAAATATTGTAGGCTCACGCAACCTTTGTCTGTGGAAAGAATGGTGGTGGGGCAGCCGAAATTTTCAACTGCGAAAACGATGTTGACATTTGCATAGGCACTCTGAGTAAAGCCGCAGGTTGCCATGGTGGATTTATTGCATGCAGGTAAAAGATGAGTTTTTAATCTCTCTCTCTCTCTCTCTCTCTCTCCCTCTCTCTCTCTCTCTCTCTTTCGAAGAAAATGAACCTATGTAGCTCATTTGGAACAAGTCTACTGAATGTTCAAAAATATTTATGCCTTCCATTTCTATCGGTAATGGCAGCAAGAAATGGAAGCTGCTCATCCAATCCCGTGGACGGTCCTTTATATTCTCGACTTCTACACCAGTGCCTGTTGCTGCTGCAGCCCACGGTCAGTCTTTCCTCATTTTCCATATTCGGAAGTGTCTATTAATGCTTTGGATTATACATTCAGTCATCCTATACACATACATGACTTCTATGGAATTGTCTCACTCATGCAGCTGCCATTGTTGTGGCAAAGGAAGAGACATGGCGTAGGGAGTCTATTCATAAACGAATTCAGGATTTCCGTGCTTTCACAGGGATTCTTGTGGAAAGTCACATCATCTCAATTGTCGTTGGGCGTGAGAATAAGGCTCTGCAAGCTAGCCGGTCTTTACTTGTTCTCTTTTTCTTTTTTTTTTTCTATGTGCGTAAGAATTTACATAAAACTGTTCTTGCGGTCCCATTAACAAAGTTTGTGTCTTTGTTTTGCAGGCATCTTCTGAGATTAGGTTTTCACGTGACTGCAATTCGACCTCCCACAGTACCACCCAACTCATGCAGGTTAGTCGATCTTTGTCTGTTCTAAGGCTTCTAGCCAAATTTACACTTTGAATTGTGCCTTGATTGGGGATTAGTTTTGATGTGTGCTAGTTTTGCCCTTGTCATTTCAGGTTAAGGATAACTCTAAGTGCAGCACACACAAGAGATGATTTGAGAAAGCTCACTGATGCACTTGCTGAGTGTGTCGATGTTCGGGAGACTGAACTTCATGGAAGAAATTGCTACCCCAAGCTCTAGTGTTTTATTTTATAGATTAAAAATATTACTTCTTTGGGTTTGTCTCTTAGACTATGTAATGGATGAAGCACCTTATTATATTGGTGGAGACTATCTGAATTTTCTATCCTAATTAAATATGTAGTAAAAGCCTTGGGTAGACAAGGCAAAAATAATGTGTACTCATTATATGAGCATTTACTTCCTTTGTTGATTAGTTACCATCATCTTTCCATATTCATTCTTTACAAAAGCTCCCTGTGTAAAGTTTCGAAATTTGTTATATCAGGTAACTTTGGCGCCATAGTTGTACTCGTCTTTGGTTAATTCATATTACACCTGTTATTGTTCAATCATTTAATGAACTGAAAAATTCCATCTTGAATAGTTGAGAAAAGCTCGAAAAATGCTGGTACACAGATGAGGTGCGCGCAATAGGGTCGAAAAAAATCCCTAAATTTAACGTTGCATACGCAAAGTTCTGATACCAGGTCAGGATAACACTGAATAGATCCATATCAGAGCAAAAACACCATGTCTAATGAGGAAACCTCTCGACCACTGAGGTACTATTACTTGAAAATAAAAGCAGAGTTTTAATACCATTGTCAGGATAACACTGATTAGATCCATATCAGAGCAAAAACACCAGGTCTAATGGGGAAACCTCTCAACCACTGAGGTACTATTGCTTGAAAATAAAAGCAGCAAAGAACATGTGTAATAAAGAGATGAGGCCTAGCCATGGCCATGGGTGGACTGATCATCAGAGGCTGGGCTGAGAGTAGAGAGAGCCAGCCAGTTGTGGCTCATAGCTGATGGGCTGCAGTTGATGTTACAATTACTGTTTATCTTCTGATGATAGCCCAATCTCATTACACTTCGTGGCCCATTATAAGCTCCACTAATCTCCCACGCAGTTGAGCTTGAATTTGCTGACACCTGCATCCACAACAACCCATGCAAAAAAAAAATCATGAGAAGATGCTTTCAAATATTTAAAATCAAACACTGGATTTATTTCTTAATCAGAATCTTCAAAATGAAATAAATTAACAAGAAAATTAATTATTAGACTTTAATAAAAGTACATTCAACCCTTGGAATGCAATACAGATGAGGTGTGAACTTTAAAAGAGTGAGATAATGCTAAATGGATTCTTTTGGTGCTTTTAGTCTAAATTTCAAGATATTATTTTGGGATAACTGAAATAACCATGCTTTGTTCACCCAATAGACAAGAAACAAAAAAGAGTGATCTTTGAATTCACAAAACAACCTTTGAGCACCTACCTTTTGTAAGGACAATCAGGGAAGTTTTAATTTAAAGCATAACTACCTTTCAGTTGCACAAGATATAGGTATTTCTGTAAAAATAAAACATAAAAAAAATAAAGTTAACTCACCAATGACACATCATTAGGCTTTGCTGTGGCACTGTTGAGTTTGACCAAAGAAGCATCCTCAAAACCCGACCCTGTTGGCATAGTCACCTTAACCGCACGTTTCTCAGCCAACGGTTTAACGAGCAGCCGAGGTGAGGCCAGACCACCAGACGACGAGTTGACCGAAGTAGGGGTCGGGACCTCCACCTGGACTGTGACCTGGTTAGAACCGGTCGAGTGAACCATGGTTCCATCCTTGACCATGTTGGGCCAGAGAAAAGTCCCCTGTGGCTTGCAGATCCTGAAACCACTCTTCATCCTCTGAATCTTTGCTGCCTTCTCTGCTGCAGCATTTGATGTTGGCTGGCCACTGTTCTTTTGGTTATTGACAGTCTCCGGTAAGGTTCTTACAGTGTCTGTTGGGGCCAATGATGATGGGTGGTCCACTGTTGCTCTTTCTTTGGCAGTGTTGAGTGTGATGGACTTGGCTGTGGTTTCCTGTATTTCATTTTCATGTAACAAAAATGACAAATAAAGCAAACAAGCCGAATGAAAAGCATAAATCCATCACAAAACTTTTAAGTCCCTTTGTCAACTAAATACTCATTAATGATGTCCAAAAGCATTTTGTATTTTACCTGTACCTCTTTCACAAAATCAGAGATACACAAGGTGTTCCTTGCACTTCTATTGAAAAAAATAAAATAAAATAAAGAAAAAAAAAATGACCGAAACATAATATGTAATAGGGTATCCGATTTTCTTAACGATAAAACTTACGGAACCTGTGACATGTAAATATTAACTATACAACATGATAAATCACCTCTCCAACTTGGACACTGCCAATGTCGGTTTTTGAGGAGTCCAATGAAGTGGCAAGCTGGTTTAGCATTTGACTAATGTCCGAACGACTCCATGCTATTGTGATGGCTTGATTTTCGGTTTCCTGACTCTTTTTTGATGCTGAAAGCTCTTCAAGTTCCCTGCAAACATGAGAACCATGCAACATAAATCCTTCTAATTCATGATTCGCAAAAACCTAGCCAGAAAAGGCAGCTAAGTGCAATTAAATGATCTTATGGTATTATGTTATCACATCATCACCTCCTTAACTTTCTCACATCATCCTCCAGCTGCATCTTTGTGGCCATAAAATCTCTGTTCATAAACAGAAAACATCAGTAACTATCACTGTAATGAAAATACTCTTCAGAGTATCCATTTAAAACAATTCCAGGACCCTCTATTCCATTGGGTGTTTCATCTTAATATCAAGAATGACAACAAATGTAGAACAAGACAACAGTAATCAGCCAAAAACAGCAGTGAATATTATTGCACCTTTCCATTTTGGTTAAGCTATCTTGCAAAAGCTTCAGCTCCCTTGCACAAACCGGGTCCTGAGTTGGCGAGTCACCCGGCTTCCACCCGGGCGGGGGGATCCAATAAGGATCAGCTATCCCAGCTTCCTTCCTGATGTCAACAAGATCAGCACTCTCCAACCAATACTCCATAGCCCCATCATGGTTGTGCCGCCGTCTGAATCTCTCCTTGCCTCCCGGTGCAATTTTTCCGGCCATATGCTTCAGGAGGTGGTCGAGAAGCCCGGTGTCCCCTATTGTCTTTCTAGCTTCTGCCCTCAGTTGAGGCCTCAGAATTGGTTTTCCAGCTGTTGCTGCTTTTGCCTTCATCACACTGACAAGATTTTTCTCAGCTAGCTTGTACCTTCACATTTCAACAATTTACAGTTCAGTACAATGAAGATAAAGTAAGCTAGAATAAGTACATTAAAAAAAGTAAAAGAAAAACATAAGATAGTGTATTTACATCACCTTTCAGCAGACCAACGGTCTTTTGGGTCTCTTGGAATTATGGCTTCCTTGCATCTGCCTCTGCCTTTCTTTTTCTTGGCATGGGACCTCTTACTGTTTAGCCTCTTAAGTTGAACAGAATTTTCTTTCTTCGGTTTTTTAACTGCAATATTTCTGAAAGAGTACCTCTTTCTTTTCGAGCTCATGTTACTGCCTCTCTTAACCATTACAATTTCTTCTTCTTCTTCTTCCTCCTCCTCCTCTCCCTCATCTTCTTCTTCTCCTTCCTCATCTTCCTCGTCTTCTTCTTGTTCTTCCTCATTTTCCTGACCATCACTATTAACAGTTTCGTCATCTTCTTCACTTTCATCCTTCACCATATCCTCATCTTTTTTTCCACCACCATCACTATTTTCAATTTTCTCTACCTCCACAGATTTTCTATCATCATCAAAATCTTTAGCAGAACCCAGCTCAACCCTGAACCCGTCGATACCATCCATAAAGCTTGAGGACAGCCCATTAACGTCACCACAAGCACCATAATCAATCTCCTTATGCCTGCCCATATACTTGACCTGCCTTCTTACCCCCCACCTCATCATCCCATTCCCTCTCAATGCATCAGATAAGCCATGATCAGCACCCATTTTATGCGCAACACTAATTTTAATATCATCCCTGCGTAAATTATAACAAGCACCAATGGGAGGATCAATCAGCCAGAAACTCTGCAAATTTTTCTGCTGGTTATACATAGCCGGCGGAACTATCTTGGTAAGCACTTTGTCTGCCAAGGAATTGCCCATCACAAATTTTTCATCCAGAGCCGGGTGTGTTTTCTTCCTTCTGTAGTCGAAAAACTGTTTCAGCGACTCCTTACTGGGAAATCTTACGGAGACATTCAACTCAGTCTTCTCACAGAGCTTAAATTCCAACAAACAAAATAAATAAACTAATTAATTCAGAAGCAGGATGGAACTATAAATTACACTTATGGAATTTATTTTGATTGGGAAATAGAAGTTTCTCACCATAGCAACTCTGATGAGCTTGAGCTGAGATGGAGTTCGAGGGGGCAAAAACCTGTGATCAATCTCGTAAAGATAACCGGATAGAATCTGGCTCTGCGTCTGTACCAATGATTTTACAACATCCTCTGGTTCTGAATATGAAAAACATGAATTGGGTCTCCCCAGTTAAGAACTATAAATTAACCATAACAAAGGAAAGAATACGTTTAGGTAGTTAATAACATATAATATGTCTCGATTGGTACCTTCGACTGGAAGTGAACTCAGGTGGGTTGAAGGCGGCAGCGGAGGAGGTGTAAAGTAGTGCTTCCGGCCTGAGATCGGAGGTTCTCCGGCGGCGGCCGTGGCTACCTGCTCGGCCTCTTTCTGGTTTTCCTGATCCATAAAAGCAGCAGAGGTGATCAGCACGCTTCAATATACTGTATAAGCTTGCAGTGTGTGCATGTGCGTGTGAGCGGATCTATATATGTCCCCGTGTGTGTGTGTGTGTGTGTGTGTGTGTGTGTGTGCTAGTTTTTCATGCAAGCAAAAAATGAAAATGGCTATCGATCATGCGGTTATGCAGAGGGTGATATGATTACAAAGATTCGATTTTATTTATTTATTTATTTTTTATTTTTTCTTGTGGTGTGTTTGCAACAGCAGGGACACGCAGTGTGCGCGTTAATAAAAAAAGCAGACGCAACCCATGGCGCGTGGGCAGAGAGTGCGTTTGTTCAAGTTTGGAATGTATATGTACGTGGTGTGGGCGCGTGGAGGGTTTGTCACCAATATGTGAGACCAAAAATAACAGATAATGGGGCCTTTCTGATGCCAACTCACGCAGTGGGAATTGACGAGTTAGAGAGAGAAAGTGAAGAGAGATAAACTATAGAGAGAGAGAGAGAGAGAGAGAGAGAGTGTACCAAGGCGGGTTCATTTTTTGGTTTTTTGTGGCGTTTTCTGTAGTACGTTTCCATCACCATGGCAGCCTGCAACAAACACAAAAAAGCACAAAAAAAGCTTCAAATTTGCAGATCGATTCAAATTGAAACTAAAAAAATAAAAAAATAAAAAAATGTCAGAAGTCTAAGAGTTTTCTCACAAGCAAAAGGGAATTTGTTTACATTTTTCCAGAAAAACAAGAAAAAAAAAA